TCTGTGGAAACCCTATAAAGGCTCTGGCCTAGGCTTTCCTCTTACTCCTACTTCTTCCTCCTTACCAAAAGCTGATGCTTCCCCTGTGGTCCTACATGGTGTGGCATGCCCCCTTTTCTTGGGAAATCTAAGTAACAAATTCTGCTTTCAATGGCATTGGCCTCTCTATGTCATCAGTCTCCTCTATAAATTAAAATCCCAAGGGTACAAATAGACACTCTGTCCCACCCAGGTCTGGCTGTCCAGGGCTACCTCAGTATGCTGCTCCTCACACCAGCACTCCAGGTGCTTTGATTCTCCAACCATGGCTAAATTTGCCCCAGCTGTGGCTGGACCTGCAGTTTTGAAGAATACAAGCCGGAAGCCTTGGTGGCGTCCACATGGTGTTAGGTCTGCAGGCTTGCAAAATGCCAGAGCTGTGGAGGCTTGGGAGCCTCCACCCTGATTTCAAAGGATGTATGGAAAAGTCTGGGGGCCCAGGAAGAGATCTGTCACAGGGGCAGATTCACCGCATACAGCCTTCACTAGAGCAATACTGAGCGGAAATGTGGTGTTGGAGTTGCAGCAGAGAAATCCCACCAGAGCCATGCCTAGTGGAGCCATAGGAGTGGGACCACCATAGAGACCCCAGATCTGTGGAGCTACCAGAGGGGAACACCACCTTGGGAGAGCTCATGTGTGGCCTGAGACCAGGAAAGCCATAGGAGTGGAGCTGCCCAAGGACTTGAGGACCCAAACCCTACACCAGCATGCAGAGGACATCAATCACAGAGTCAAGGTACATGATTCATTCACCAGCTGTAAGATTTGATGCCTGCCCTGCTGCGTTCCGGACTTGTTTAGGACATGTTACACCTTTCTTTTGGCCCATTTTTCCTTCTGAATGGGAATATGTACCCTATGCTTGCCCCACCACTGTATCTTGGAAGTAGATAACTTCTTTTGATTTCACAGATGGGACTTTGAGGCGTTGGACTTTTGAGTTGGAACAAGACTTTGGGAATGGAATGAACTTATTTGTATGTGAAAAGGACACGAATTTGGGGGAGCCAGTGGTGGAATGCCTTCGGTTGAATATCCCCCCAAAACTTAATCCCTACTGTAACCATTGAGGGTGGAAAATCCTACTATGGTAATTCCAAGGTGGGGCCTTGAAGAAGTGATTAGACTCTCAGGATAATGCCTAGTGAAAGATGGTCATGGGTGTGGTATGGAGGGCTTTTAGAGGAGAGTGAATGAGGAGGTTTGGCTCTTTTTACTCTGCCATTTTGCAACGTGATACCCTGCCATCACTGTTGACACCACCAAGGTCTTCACCAAATGTGTTCCCTGAAGTTTGGACTTCCTAGCCTCTGAAACTGTAAGCAATAAGTTTCATTTTCTTATAAATTACCCAGTTGCAGGTATTTTGTTATAAGCAACAGAAATGTACTAATACACAAACTAACTTAGGTTTCCAAAGAGAAAGTTAACACCTTCTAACTCCTTCATACACACAAAAACCTCTTGGAAGTCCTATTTGCATTTGAAACTCAACATTCAGAACAAAATGGAGTTTTACCCAGCAACTCCACTCAAAGAACACAAAAACTTATACATGCATGCTCATAACAGCATCGTTTATAATAGCCAAAGAGTGGAAATACCTACAAGCCCATCAACTGATTAATGGATAAACAAAACAAGGTAATATTATTCAGCCACGAAAAGGAATGAAGTACTGATTCATGCTATAGCATGGATAAACCTTAAAAACATGCTTAGCAAAAGCAGGAAAGAAAACGCCACATATGTATGATTCCATTTACATAAAATGTTTGGAATAGGCAAACCCATAGAAACAGAAAGATTAGTGAATGTCAGGAGGTGGGGTGGGAGAACGACTGCCAATGGGTACAGTGGTTTCTTTTTGGGATTATAAAATGTTCTGGAATTAGACATGATGATGACTACAGAGTCTTGTGAATGCACTAAAAACCACTGAATTGTACACTTTAAAAGCATGAGTCTTATATGTGAATTGTACCTTAAAAAAAAAAAGACTAAGTGTATTATCTTCCCTCCAAATCTATTCCTCACACTCTCCTGTGTCCATTATTTCAGTGATGGGGACCACATTCTACTCAGCTGCTCAGACCAGAAACCTACACATCATAACAAACGATTGGGCCATGACAATTCTAACATCTTAACATTCTCTGTCCTCCACCTCCCAGTTCGGGTCACACTCATTTCTCACCTAGATTATAGCAGCCTCCTAACGGGTCTCCCGACCTCCAATCCTGCCTCCATTTGCACACTGCAATCAAAACTGTCTTTGAAAACAAAATCTTCAGTGGCTCCCCGTGACCCCGGCTGGAAGCTCAAACCCTTACTACGATTTATAAAGTCCCTCAAATTTCAGCCCGTGGCGAACCTCTCCAGCCTCACTTTCCCCTCCAGCCCTTGATCCCTTTGCAGCAGCCAGGCTGAGGAGCTTTGGTGCCACCTCCAGGGATACGCACGCAGATACCGCTGTCCCACCACCAGGCCTCCACTTTCATGCCATCCCCTCCGGGAAGGAAGCCCCCATCCCCACCCTATCGCGCCCCGGCCCCGTCAGGCCGCATTTGGAGCCTCTCCAAGTCCCCTCACTCTCAGGCAGGGGCGCTCCGAACGGGTCGCCACTGTACCGTGAGTGAACTATGGTGGAGCAAAACTTTCTCTTAAAACGGCCACAGTGCCCCAAATTCACCCCGACTCCCCCTCAACTCTCAACAGACTTGACGCGGATGCAGGATGCTACCGCGCAGCCCGTCAGGCGCCGCTTCCGCGGCGCCCCGCCTCGCGCCATCCGGAAACACTGTCCGCCGCGTGCCCGCGCCAGGGACCGCGGAGGAAGATGGGAAGCGAACCCCGGAACCGCTCTGCGCCTGCGCCTGCGCACACGCATTTCTCCGCGGGGGCGCCGGGCGGCGCATGCGCAGGCGCGTGGCTTTCCGTTGAGAAGGTGCCGCGGCGGCACCGGAGGTAGGAGGAGCCGGGCTCTGGGGCTGGGAGTCTGAACCCGGGAGGAGGAGGTCCTGTCATCTCGGGCCGTTCTCGCTCTCCTGAAGGAGAAGAACCTTTCTCGCCCGCCTCGCTCGCTGCCCCCCTGGTCTCGGCAGGCCCGCAGCCGCGGCGGAGGGGCAGGGGTGGAAAAGGGCCGGGGCCCGCCTGGAGGGAGGTGGGGTGGATCCGGATACCTACGGTGGTCACGGCCAGGGGGCCAGTCCAGCGATCGGGATCCTCCGTCTGGCTTTAGAGTCCTTGGCAGCCCTTCCCCAGGTGGATCCATCAGCTCACTCTCTGCAGGTCGCCGGGTTGGGGGCGGGAGGGTCCGCCCTGCCACATCCATTCATTCATTCCGCGCCCGCTGTGAGCCGGGCGCCGGGGTGGGTACCAGGTGAGGAGGCACAAGTCCCCTACCCTCTGGAAACTTCAGCCTTGTAGAATCCTTTATGTCATTCAGCACATATTGACTGAGCACCTATAGGAGATGGACTGTTGAATCAACAGAGACACGAAGACTCAACACCATTGTGGAGGATGGAATTTTCTCTAGCCGCTTCCCACATCCGACAGGATAAAATTCAGTTTACTTAGCCTGACGTTCCAGGCCCTGGTGAACTGATCTCTGCCTCTCCCTGCAGGCTTCTCTCCTACCACTTTCTCATCACTCCGATTATACCAAACTCTTTGCAGTTCATGAATTCAGTAAATAGTTGTCTAGCACTTAATTACAGGTCAGGCACTGGATCAGCCAAAGAGAATATAAAGTAAAATAGATGAACCTGTGCCCTCCTGAAGTGTTGAGCTTAGTGGGGGACAGATATTAAGTCAATGAATAATAATATAAGAGCCCGTACTCTGGAACAGCACCGCCTGGGTGTGATCCCAGCTCTGCCACTTCAAAAGCTGTGTGGACTTGAGCCAGTTCTTCATTCTGCTTGTGCCTGGTTCCTTGCTGTAAAGGAAGGATGACAATAGATTCCACTTTCTAGGACTATTGGAAGGATTAAATGAATTGAAGACTTGAAAAACGTTGGAATAGTGCTTGGCACACAGTAAGCTTCATTAAATGTTATCTATTCCATGTGACTATAACCTGTGATAAGTGCCATTGTGAAAACTATGATGATGGAGAATAATGGGGGGTGGAGAGTGTCCACTTAAAGGATTAGGGGAAGTTCCTCTAAAGAGGAAGATGAGAATGAGCCAGTCATACAAAATAGATTCTAGGTAGGTGTATCTGCCCAGCTCTGGAAAACTAAATGATTAGCCAGATTACTTGGACAGTAGAGATTGAATTATTGTATTTTAAATGAAGAACTTCTGCCATTGGATCATTCAGTTTTGATTTTTGAACCACACTAAGGTGTGTGCCAAAGTAAATAATCATGCTCATAAGGCCCAACCCTTACATATAGGCAGTGTTCTAGTTGTCTGGGTTTGGAGAGCTCTTGTTGGGCTGACAGGATAGAGAAAATTGGTCTTTTCTCTCCTCCTGAGTGTTCAGGGGCATATACTTTCTTTTTCTTTCTCTCAGGCTGCATTGTTTGCTAATAGAGCCTCTAATAGCTGGGGGCCTTAGGACAGTGTAGGAGATAGTTTTCCTAGATTTGAGGATCATCTTGTTTCTGTGGTGACTGCTCTTCATGGGGTTTGTTCCCCAAATTTTAGTAAAAACAACACTCTCCCAAGATGCACATGTATTTTTCTGCCTGTGGAAGAATATGCATTGACAGGTTTCTATATCCCTCTCCTCTCTTGTGTTGTGAGGTTCTGTGAGACAATTAGACTGTGTTAACCGGTTTGTACTGAGTATTTGACAGGAGTATTGTCACTCTGAAGACTTTTCCTATACCCTGCATGCTCTTGTATCTTCCTGGAAAAAAATGGCAATATCTGTCTAATTACACTTAGGTGCTTTTGATTTTCTACAGATGTGAAATTAAATGAACTAAGTGTGCTTCATCACCATGGAGATCTTGGAGAATCACCTGAGCATCAAGTTCTTATGTATTCTGTCTCCAAGGCCTCAATTGGACAATAAAACATTCTCTCAATTGTGAACTTTAGCAGAGGGAAGCTCTAAACATGTTGTTTAACCACAGGCCCATTTTGAAGACAGATATTTAAGTCATTATGGAGAGGAAAACAGAACTTTTTGTTCAGTTGTGCCAACTTTCCAAGTATCTCAGTGAGAAGTAGATGGGGCCCTAATGGAGCTATAAGTGGGAATGAGGCTTGGCTAGGCTCACACTCGTGTTCACTTTCTCATCTGTGTACACACCCCCAGATTGGCCCTTACTCCTCTAAAGACCGGCTTGAAACCCTTTAACCTGGTCAGACGATGGATGAGTCAGATGATGATTTTAAAGAACTCTGTGCGAGCTTCTTCCAAAGGGTGAGAAAAAATGGAACCAAGGAAGTGTCAGGAGAAAAGAAGACACAAAAGACCTCAAACAGCACTCAGACAGGAAACAAATTAAAAAGGACTAAACGAACTGCTATCAAGAGCAAAACTCTTCAAGGCCCTGCAGAGAAGAAACCTCAATCTGGCAGCCAGGCCCCTAGGACTAAAAAGCAAGGAGCAACCAAGTCGCAAGGAAGTGAGCCAGCTGTCACTGTGAATGGAGGGGGAGGTGTGCTTGCTCCTGCTCCAGATCAGCCTGTGCTTTGGGAAAGAGCACAGAGCACCCAGACAGGTAATCAGTCAAGAACCACTGCCAGATCTTTCCAGAGAGCAAACCAGAGGTGATTTGTACTATTTTATTTTATTTATTATTATTTTTTTTTTAAAGATGACCGGTAAGGGGATCTTAACCCTTGACTTGGTGTTGTCAGCACCACGCTCACCCAATGAGCTAACCGGCCATTCCTATATGGGATCCAAACCCGTGGCCTTCGTGTTATCAGCACCACACTCTCCCAAGTGAGCCACGGGCCAGCCCTGATTTGCTATTTTAAACCAAGGGTTGGAAAACTTTCTGGAAAAAGTCAGATAGTAAATATTTTGGCTTTGTAGGCTATACTTTCCCTGTTGCAACTACTCATCTCTGCTGTTGTAGTGAGACAGTGACCAGAGACAATATGTAAATGAATGGGTGTGGCCATGTGCCAATAAAACTTTATTTAAAAAACAGGCAGCCAGCTCTGGGACCCTAGTTTACAGACTCCTGCTTTTTTTTTTTTTTAAAGATGACTGGTAAGGGGATCTTAACCCTTGACTTGGTGTTGTCAGCACCACGCTCTCCCAACTGAGCTAACCGGCCATCCCTATGTAAGGATCCAAACCTGTGGCCTTGGTGTTATCAGCACCACACTCTCCCAAGTGAGCCATGGGCCAGCCCCCAGACTCCTGTTTTATTTATTTTATTTAAAAAAATTTTTTTTTGTGACCAGTAAGGGATCACCACCCTTGGCTTGGTGTCGCCCGCACCGCGCTCAGCCAGTGAGCGCACCAGCCATCCTTATATAGGATCTGAACCCGCGGCGGGAGTGATGCTGCGCTCCCAGCCCTGCTCTCTCCCGAGTGTGCCACGGGGTCGGCCCATCATTAATATTTCTTTAATAACCACTTTATTGAGATATAATTCACATTCCATAAAATTCACCCTTTTAAAGTGTACAGTTAGTAGTTTTTAGTATATTCACAGAGTTGTGCAGCCACCACCACTACCTAATTTTAGAACATTTTCATCGCTCCAAAAATAAACCCAATGCTCATTAGCAGTCACTCCCCATTCCCTTCCTGTCACTGATTTATGTCTGTAAGGCCACAAACAGTGAGGTTACCAACAAGCAAACAGTCCTATTCACACTTGTGAGTCAAACCTAAAGTGGTTGATAAAGGACCCCTTTGAAACTTGGGTCTAATCTGTATCTGGTGGAAAAGTTTTTTATTTCTCCAGCTACAACAGATGCTTTTGAATATTTTCCTCCTTGCCAGAGAGTGCTCCCAACAGTGACTCCCAGCACCCTCCTTCCTGTCTGACAACAGTGGTGCCAAGTCCCTCCAAACCCCGCATGGCCGAGCTGGTCCTACAGCGAATGCAGCAGTTCAAGAGAGCAGACCCTGAGCGTTTGAAGCATGCTTCAGAAGAGTGCTCCATCAAGGCCACACTGGAAGAAAATGTCCCAAAGGGCCCTCCAGAGGAGATGATGGCGGGGAACGGTATGATGAGTGTGTTTCTGTCTTTCAGAGATAAGTAGTGACACTGGAGGAAGGGAGGCAGAAAGGAGCTGTGTCCGCTGTGCTTCTGCTGTGGGCAGGCCCTGTGCCTCGTGTCTTACCTTTGCCACCTCATTGGACCTAGCCAGAGCATGAAGGGTCCCTTGGGTCATTTGTCACTTAGCTTCTTTGACAAGGTACCTCTTCCTCTTTTTTTTTTTTTTTTCACTTTTGCTTTTTATTATGAAATTTTCCCTTATAGAAAGGTAAAAAAATACAACAAATTCCACATACCCTCAAGGTAGATTTAACAATTGTTAACATTTTGTTATATATTTTTAATGTCTCTGTAAATATACACATTTGTATTGTTTGAACATAGGTGATAACACTTCATCCCTAGATCTGCTGCATAACCAGAGTGTGTTATAATGCCTGAGTCCATAATATTGCTTGGTATCCAATCATGTTCAAATTTCCCCAGTTGTCCCAAGGATATCTTTTATAGCTGGTTTCTGTTTTTGTTTTTGTTTTCTGAGCAAGGATTCAGTATAAGTTTGTGCACTGCATATTGCAATAGCTCATTAGTCTCTTAAGGTCTAGATTCTAGAACAGTCGTCCTGTTGTCTTATTTTTTAATACTAATTTGTTGAAGAGTCCAGAGTAGTTGTCTTATAAGATTTCCCACTTTCTGGATTTGTTTGATTATTTCTTCATTGTGTCATTTAATCCCTTCCTGTGACCCTGGTACTGCTGGCCCACTGTGAGTAAAGGAGAGGCCTCTCGGCTTTAGGTTCAGTGGTTTGGCAACAGAGCCTCACAGGTGCTGTGAGCTTCGTGTTGCACCCCCAAGAGGCAAATAATGTCAGGTGGTCCTATTCTTTATCCCTTAAACAATATGATCATCAGCTCTGATGAAAACATGCAAAAGGAAGAGATGGGAAGAGACCGTGCTGACAGGCCCACAGATACACACATGCAGTCCCTGTGCTGCACTTGCAGGTCTTGTGGTGAGGCTCTGAGGGTTCTCAGGCCGCCCCAGAGGTCCACAGCATGCAGTGATTTGACATCTGCTGAGGCACATGTGGAGTCCCCGTGGCACATGTGGGGTGCACAGGAGTTGCTCATCGAGTGGGTGCGCCCAGTACGTGCCCTGTGTTTAACTCAGTGCTCTATGTGTCTGCACACAGCATACCCAGCAAATGCTCAGGAAGAGATAAGCCATTTCTTTGTTAAAAAAACAAATAGGGCATTGAAATGAAGTTGTGCTGCTTCTCTGGCTTTGGCAGCAGGCACAGTAGGCCGTAGTAGTCTCCAAGAACTTGGGAATTTATGAAGTTCTCAGGGCGTATGTCTCATGCTTGCTGAGTGTTGCTCCAGCAGTATCAGATGGGCTGCCTTGGGAGCCATCTCAAAACCAGAGTCAGTCCATCCCCCGGAACCTGAACCTGCATTTTTAACAAGCTGCCCAGGTGATTGTGTGCACATTAGAGTTTGAGAAGTGTTGTTCCAGGAGCCCCATTTAGTGCTCACTGGACAGTGCCCATGTGACCAGGCCTGCAGGATGGTGCTGGGTTCTGGTTTCCTTGTGCCCTGAGGGTGAGCTTGTCTTTGGAGCTTATCCTCATAGATTGTTGGTGTTTTTCCACAGGGTATGGGCCCAAGCTCCCTGCCACAGAGAGCGACGCTGCAGTGGCCTTGGCCCTGCAGCAGGAATTTGGACAGGAACGAGCATCTGCACATGGTGATAGCCTGGAGGAGAAGGGGTTGTTCTTCTGCCAGATCTGTCAAAAGAACCTCTCAGCTATGAATGTGACACGGAGGGAGCAGCACATGAACAGGTGGGAGCAGCTGAGGCCATCACCTCTCCCGCGTGTATGATCAGAGCCCAGGGCACGCTGTGGCTGTATGGGAATCTTAAGACACCTTACCATCACGATAGCACTTCAGTTCTGTTGTCAACTTGCCCTTTTTAAAAATTACTAAGATATAATTCACCCATTTAAAGTTACAATCCTGGGCCGGCCTGTGGCTCACTCGGTAGAGTGCGGTGTTGATAACACCAAGGCCACGGGTTCGGATCCCATATAGGGATGGCCGGTTCGCTCACTGGCTGAGCGTGGTGCTGACAACACCAAGCCAAGGGTTGAGATCCCCTTACCGGTCATCTTTTAAAAAAAAAAAAAAATAAAAAAAAAATAAAGTTACAATCCACTGGCTTTTGGTATATTCCCAGTTGTCCAACCACCACCACGATCAACTTTGGATTATTTTCCTTACCCCCAAAAGAAACCCCAGACCCATTAGCAGTCACTCCCCATTCTCCCACCCTCCAGCCCCTGGCGATCACTAATCTACTTTCTGTCTGCATGGATTTGCCTGTTCTGGACATTTCGTATAAGTGGAATCACTCAGTACTTGGCCTTTTGTGTCTATACTGTTTCACTCGACTTAACGTTTTCAAGGTTCATCCATGTTGTAGCATGTATCAATACTTGGTTCTTTTTTATGGCTGAAAAATATTCCATTGTGTGGCTAAACGACATACTGTTCATTCTTTCATCCATTGATGGACATTTGGATTGTTTCCATCTTTTGGGCACTGTGACTAGAGCTGCTATGAACATGCTTTTGAACATGTATTTGAGTGCCTGTTTTCATTTCTTTAGGGTACACACTTAGGAGTGGAATTGCTGGGTCATGATGTAACTCTGTGTTGAATCTATCTTTGCTTTCTTTACCCACCTTTGCGAACCCATACCTAAATGAAGTATCTGCCAGCTGACTGCAGGAGACGTACAGGCTGTGTGAAGAGGATTGGCTTTGGGGAACATGCCTTGGCCACAGCATGTCCATGTTGATGTGGATCCACGTTTGCTACGATCCGCATCACTGGGGAGGGTGGATCTCCTGTATTTACTGTCTTCCTCCAGGTGCCTGGATGAGGCTGAAAAGGTGTTAAGACCTTCTGCGCCTCAGATCCCTGAATGCCCAATTTGTGGCAGACCGTTTCTCACCTTAAAGAGCAGAGTCAGTCACTTGAAACAGTGTGCGGTGAAGATGGAGGTGGGCCCCCAGCTCCTGCTGCAGGCTGTGCGGCAGCAGGCAGCTCAGCCGGAGGCGTGCAGCAGCCCACCACTGTCCAGGTGAGTCAAGTGAAAAAGAGGAAAATCAAAGCAGCCAAATAATGCTGTTTGTACTTGATTTGTTTTTTTAAAAAAGCTTTTTTATAGTGTTGGAGGACAATAGAGCCCTCTTTGATTCTGGAAATGAAACACGGGAGGAGGAAACTGGGCACAGTCTGGAAGGGAGTGTGGAGAGGACAGGTTCTGCATCCTTGAAGGCTTTGAAATGGCCATTTGGGTGTGTTTGTGGAAAGGAACATTTGGGCTGGTTTCCTCCACGTCCTTCCTGAGGTGTTTCCAACCCCATGACCTTACGTACCCACTAGAGCATCTAAGAACTTGCCATTCGCTTGACCTCATTGCTTTGTTGACCAGCATGATTTCCATCTCAGTCTGATTTTTGGACTGTTATTGTAAGCTTATTCAGCAGTTCAGAGTTGGTGACCCAGAACCATAGTACCTTTTTTTTTTTTTTTTTAATTCCCATGAATGAATTCTTAAGTGTTAAAATAGGAGGCCTCTTTGATGGCTGGGAAACTAGATCTCTGTGTGCAAACCACATGGGTGGCGGAGGGTCAGCTTGCTCCACACTTGCCACCGAGGATGCCAGGGTTGACCCCAGCTCTACAGGGAGCAGAGGCAGCATGGACCCTGGACTTCTCTAGGTGTGGACTTCTTCCCCTTGACACTGTCGAGCGCGAAGAGAAGGCCAAGGCTGATGTCTGTGTGTCCCAGCCCCTGCCTCGCACTCAGGTTCCGGCAGCTGAGCTGGCCAGCCTGAGACCGCAGGGGCAGAGGTGGGTTCTATTGGCCAGGAGCCTGCCTATATTTAGTGCTTCTGCCACAGCACTGTAGGATTGGAAGCCGCGAGGCCCTTAGAATAGACGTGATCTCAGCCACTGCTTGCCTCCTGGCAGGACCGCACTGAAACTGTCCGCTCAGATAAAATATGTCTGCATTAAAATACCTTCAAGATGTGTGGGTTCTTCTAAAAGATCTTTAGAGGAGAAAGCTACAAGAACTGGCTACCTGCATGGGGATTTTGAACCGCCCCTCCCCTGAGGCCCAGCCTAGGCGTTTGGGACTCTGAGGCCATCAGAGCACCTGTGCACCAGCCCCTGCCCCCTCCCATGTTGTCCCCTCAGCGCAGGGCCTGCCTGCTGGCTGGAGGTACAGCCACAGCAGCTGCCACACTCACAGAGGCAGGGGACCTGGGCTGCTGGGACGGCTCCTTTCTCCCTCGGAGTCTGTGGTTATCATCCCGGCTCCCAGGAAGCTGGGACTGAGTTAGGGCTCACTGAGACCCTCTGAGATGATGCCTGAGAACCCAAGCCCAGTGGAGAGCACAGGCTTTGCAGAAGCCAGAGGCCTGACCACAGCTACTGGCAGGCAGGCCGCATCTGCACTTTCAAAGTTCCTTTCTCCCGTCACCTTCCTTATCTGTCTAGGAGCCTAGGTGCCCTCCAGCCAGAAGATCTTCTGGGTTCATTTCCAAACCAAGTGAGTCGCTGCACACTGGCTCCCGAGGCAGCTGGCCGTGCTGGTGGCCTAAGCTGAGGGTCTCTTCCTTCAGGCCTTGGGCAGAGGCACCACTTTGGGGCCCCTGCAGGAGGGAAGGGTTCCTTCTGTGGCCTGTGTGGCCAGGCCTGCCTCACGGGACTCTGAAGTGTCAGTGGCAGAACCTGGTAGGAATCCAGGGAGCTGACTCAGGTTCAAGTGTTGACTCCACAGGAAGGGTCTGGCCACTTCCCAGAGTGTGCAGGTCACACTGATGGCTTCGTGCATCTGCCAAGACCCCACTGGGTACCACCACATGAGAGAACCCAGACTCTCCTGTGTCTTGGCCATGCTGGACTTCTGGCCTGGGATCGAGTGGGCTCACATGAGGCCTCTGTACTACGGGTCCATGTCTGTCCCTAGCTCCCGAACCCACAGAGGAGAACAGGCCAGCCCTCTTGGTCCTGCAGGGAACCATCTCAGAAGATGACGTGGAGGCACCTCCAGCCCTCACTAATTCTTCTCTTTGGAGGTCTTTTAGCTTCAGCAAGCACGCTGGAGGTTCGAAACGGAAAGGTGCCACCAACAAGAAGGGACCGCAGAAGAGGCAGAAGGTGGACCAGCCTGAGGCGCCATCTGAAGACCTACTGGTGGCCTTGGCTTTGTCCCGATCTGAGATGGAGCAGAGTCCAGCTGTGCCGGCACTCAGACTGGAAAATGCTTTTTCTGAGAGGACAAGACTGGGTGCAGGTATATGTGGCTGGGAACTGTGGCCCTGCGCCGCTCCCTGTCACCACCCCAGGCTCCAGGGTGAATGGACGGCTCCACCACTTGACTGTGTCACCTCTCTTGTTCTCTAGAGAAGAAATGTCGCAGGAAGAAGCCCCTGGTCTCCCCCCCACTGCTGTTAGTCCAGGACTCCAAGACCACAGGAAGACAAATAGAAGATCGTGTGGCCCTGCTCCTGTCAGAGGAAGTGGAGTTGTCCAGCACGCCACCACTCCCTGCCAGCAGGATGCTGAAGGAAGAGTTGCCACAGGCAGGCTGGTGCCTGCGACAGCCCAAAGGAAGGCGGCCCTTGCTATGGGATGGCAGTGCCCTGACCGGAGTCAGGGCTGTGGAGTCCTTCTACACGGCCAGCCTGGTCCCTCCCCTCGTGCCCCAGCGGCCTGCCCAGGTGAGCCCTCCCCCTCCGGGCACACATGGGGATGGGTTTGGGGAGAGGTAGGCAGTTCCAGAATTGCAGCTCTGGACAGCAATGGCTGGGTGACACAAAGTCCCAGAAGAGAGGGAGGAAGCCCAAGGGGCATCATCAGCTGTAACTCATCTCTCCGCAGCAACTACATGGCTCTTCTGGTAAGAATAGGGAGGACCCTGGTTCCCAAATTTAGGAGAATGTTCCTGGAGGGTGTGCTTAAAATGCAGAGTCCCAGGCACCACTCCTGGGATGAAGTCCAGCAACCTGCATCCTAAATGTGCACCCCAGACGATCTGCAGCTGCTGCTCCTGGAATCAGGACCTACCTGCCTCAGGCTATTTAGATGACAGCCCTGACTCCTTCTGGCTCACCGATAAACCTTCCTGCACGGCCAGAGCTGTGACGGAGAAGCCTGTTGACACGCAGTGATGGGGAAAAGTTTCCCGGGGTTGCTCCAGCTGTGACTGGCACCTTGGCCACCCTCGTGCCACCACAGCTGTAACCCTCTTCTGTGGTTTGAGGTCCAGCCACCCACACTGCATGTGATGGCTGCTGCAGTGCATGTGTTGGTGACAGCGGCCACACGGTCACTCTGGCTTTCTGGCTTTTTTCAGGGTCTCACGCAGGAGCCCATGCTGCCACTGGTGCCACCTGAGCAGCCAGAGCAGGGCGTGCAAGGGTCACCTGTTCTTCACAGTAGCCCCGCTGTGGTCCGCGGCCCCAGAGACCCATCGCCGTCTGCCAGCCAGAGGGAGCGCCAGGCCCTGCAGGACCTGGTGGACCTGGCAGGGGAGGGGCTGAGTGCCAGCCCTTGGCCCAGCAGTGGGGGCCTGGCCAGCTTGGGAAGGGCCACGGGTGAGATTCTGGACAGGATGCTTGGGCCAGCACCCCCACCCTACACCCCCACACCCCTGAGAGCCTCCCCTCCCTGTGTCCGAGTTAGTCTAGGCCTTATGCTGCTGCGACGGCTGCCCAGACCTGAGCTGGCGGGAGAACGTGTTGTCTCTTGGGTGCTTTTGTTTCTTCTCAAAGTGAATGTGATCTGGGCAAGTCTGTTACAATTTTCCTTAAACTTTAACCAAAGACAGAGCCATCTGCCCACAGCAAGTGATCCTTTGGGCTAATTTTGTCTGTTTTACTATCTTTTACCTCCCTGTTGCCCAGGGGAGGTGGGGCTGGTAAAAATGGTTTGGGGGTTTTGCTTTAAATTAAGATGTTCCCTCACCTCCTGGGCACCTCTGGGTCCCACTGAGCCTGCAGTCGATGCCGTCTGCTGGGCAGTTGGCGTTGCTGGGAGGTGACATTCTCCTAACCTGCGGTTCCTTCCCTCAGGGTTGGATTTGGTGCCCAGCAGCCTTCCACTGACCGGGTTTGTCCTGCCCTCCGAGGAGAAGCACCCGGAGAGGGGTGGCCACGCTTCGGTGAGGACTGGGGCTTCTCCCACCATGACCTGTGCTATGGTCTTGGCTGCTGTTGCTCCTCATGTGACGGGTGAGGCCGGCTCACTGCTGGCCTGCAGGCCCCTCCCGAGCCCACTGGCCTCTCAAAAAGTGTCTCTGCTTCCCAGGAAAATGACACAGAATAGAAGCCTTCGGGCAGAGCTGGGAGAGAGCCCATAAGAGCCTCTTGCTCCCCTCCTGGGGCACTGCCACCAAGGCTTTGTCCCTTTTGTCGTGAGCTCTGTAGGCAAGCCCCAGAACCCGCTGTGTCCTGGGAGTGCAGAGAGGTCAGTCTATGTGGCTGCTTCCATCAGACGTCAGCTCTGGGGACTCTTCCTTTAAGGACTTACTGTGCCCTTCTGTGAATGGGTCCTGGGCAGGGCTTCAGAGCTGAGCAAGGCCAGGCCTGGCCTCCAACTAACAGTCCAGTGTTCTGTGTCTGTGATGAATTGGGTAGTAGTTAGGTTTTCATCAGAGTGAACATCATCCCATTAGGACATCAGTGTCACCAAACACTTCTCACAAGGGCCAACCTGGTAGACTTGGGGCTCTCCTCTGGGTAGTGTCCCTGAACTGCTTATCTTTGGGTCCTCATCTGTTGCAACGGGCTGGTGGTTGTCCCTGGCACAGTGCTTGGGGGCCACTGGTGCTGCAAGTGTGTCCTCACTGCACTATCCTGCCTCTCCACTAGCCAGTCCCCTGCCTCGGGTCAGGGATACTCTGTAACAGAGCACTCGAGAGAGAATCTGGTGTCTTGCTGGTCCGCATTTCCGACTACCTCACGATAACTCAAAGGTGGAACCCAGCTGAGGAACCATTTTGTAGAGGGGAGGAGAGTGAGGGTCTGCTCCCTGTCCACCTGAGCACCACCTTAGTCAGGGGACTTCACAGGCTCAGACAAGCAGGGACAGATGGAATGATGGCATGCTTCCTTGTTCCTTGCAGCTCTCCCTTGGGTTGCTGGTGGCCAACTTCAGCGCTATGGTCAATAACCCTCACCTGAGCGATGTGCAGTTCCAGACGGACAGCGGGGAGGTGCTGTACGCCCACAAGTTTGTGCTGTATGCCCGATGTCCACTCCTCAGTCAGTATGTAAGTGTGGTGGCCAGTGCACCCTCTCCCTCCCCTTCCGTCCCCTGTCCCTGGTCAAGACCTCACTCTCTTGCCGTCTTCCTCCCTGTGAGAGAGACACAGACATGCTGGAGGGGATCTGGGGATGACCTCATAATTGGGAAACATCAGAATGTTTGTTTTGCTGAATGAAAACCTTTTTTTCCCCAGAATTATGTCCTCTTTCCTCTATTTGCATAAGTCTCACAATCAGTCTCTTTAAGGTTGAATTGCTAACGAATGTTCTCGAAGACTCTGCGCTGACATGTTCTGATGTGTGTTTGGCTTGAATATCAGCAGGAATCCAGCGAACCACTGTCAGTCTATCAGAAAGCTCTTGAGGCCTTGACATGTCTAGCAAGAGGAAATTAACCGGGTTCTCGAATATCCATTCCTAATATGATTTTGACAACAGAGAAGTGTTGCAGCCTCACCTGCAGAATTCCTGGCCAGCAAAATTCACCGACACTGGCTGAAGCTTTTCCTGGAGCCGGGGCTGTTCATAAGACCAGAGACTCACAGGACACTCTACGTCTGTGTTGCTGTCTGATCAGTAAGCCTTTCTTGTTGTGTCCCACCCTCAGGTAAACAATGAAGGCTTCTCTGCTGTGGAGGATGGGGACCTGACCCAGCGTGTCCTGCTAAGCGACGTGAGCACCGAAGCCGCCCATGCATTCCTGAGCTACCTCTACACTGCGGATGCCAGCTGTCCTTCCCACCTGGTCCCTGAGCTGAGCTCCCTGGCCCTCAGGTCCAGATTGTCTTTTCCATGTGCTTCACCCTTTGCAAGTAGCTGGCAAGGATGGGAGATGGACAGCCCAAGGGAGGGTCAGGGCTTCGGCCGTCAAGACTCGGAGTCCTGTTTGTACCTTTTAATCCCAAGTTTCTGACCGGTGTGACCCTGAGCAGGGTATGTCAGTTGGAAGCTGGGCTAGAACAGACACCTACAGGAAGGCCGAGTGCTGGATGGGGGCGGTCTCTACTGAGTCCATGGCTTTGAGCTTTCCAGGCCTGATAGGAGAGTGGCGCTTGGCCTCCACGCCCCCAAACACTGCTGCTCCTCGAGTGTCCACCACTGGAGCTGAACAGCACTAAGTCCCAGCACACGGACATAGAGCAATGCTCAGTCTACTTCCCATGGCTTGACACCTCTCCCTGCTTGTCCACACCAGTATCTTATGAGAGATGGCAGGCAGCTCCACACAAAGGTGATCCACCCGACAAGGCTTGAGGACCTCTGGGATAAGACCTGCTGCTCCAGGGCTGTGTTGTCCATTGGCTGCTTTCTTGAGAAAGGAGTGGCTCAGCCTCGGAAGTTGCAGATGTGCTGACTGAACCGCAGGGCCTTCCAGCAGGTGCCGGCTGGTGTGCCTGGTGGCCTGGGCTGGCTGCTGTGCTTTGCATCTGGCGTGGCATCTTGAGGGCCTGTCAAGGCAGCACATGCTGTCCAGTTCTGCAGCCCTGTCAGTTCCTAGTATCCGAAACCCAGCTTGAGGCACCCTTTATATTTGCAGCAGTAGAGGTAGTGACCCCTGCTGTAAATATTGGGAGTCTCTGGTTTCTAGAACTAGGGGTGCTCCTGGTCAAGAGCATTGATGCCGTCTTTGGAGAGCAGGTAGAAGGCTGGGGCCGAGTCACGGTTGTTCCTCCTTGTGGAGACTCTGCTTTGAGCTCCCCTCATCCCAAGGTGCCCGGAAGGTCACCTCCCTGCAAAGTGATGGTGACACTCAGTGTTCTGTTTTGCAGGTTTGGCATGAGCGAGCTTGTCCACCTGTGTGAACAAGAGCCCTTCGTGCCGGACTCAGAGGATGAGCAGCAGCAGGAGGACGAGAACTGTGGAAGCAGAGTGCAGAGCTTCCAGGCGCTCTTGCGCTCAGTGTGGGTGGACGAAGAGGAGGAAGCAGAGACCGTGTTGAGACCAGAGGACCATGAAGAAGACAGAGAAAAGGTGAATGAAGCAGAAATGGAAGAAATTTATGAATTTGCAGCGACTCAGCGGAAGCTGCTCCAGGGGAACAGAGTGTCAGACACTGACGGGGACACTGGCCCATTCAGGGAGAACACTCTGATGTCTGGGTGTGTGCTAGCAAGTGGCCAGGGTGACGAACAGCTGGAAACGGCAGAGCAAATGGAGTCACCTGGGCCAGAAAGAGAGGAGGCCACAGCCATCCTGGAAATTCTGCCGCTCCAGGGCCAGCACTCAGATGGGGAGTGGGAGGCAAAGACCCCTGAGCAAGGGGCGCCAAAGGAGACCTGTGGACGTTCCAGCTTGGCCAGCCCTCCTGGGGGCTGCCCGCCACAGGGAAAAGGAGGCTCCTGTTTGCTACCCGTTGATGTCCATGATTCTGAACAGCTCTTTCCATCAACTCGAAGAGAATTCTCTGAACCATCCCAAATAACGAGTGATCGTGAGGAACACAGTGGCACCGGTGGGAAACGGAGGGCGGAGATTTCCCATCCCGTTGCTCCCCGGCAGAAGTCCCCACCCCAGCAGTGCTGCTTCCTGTCACAGCCGCCTTGTGGCGGAAGTCCCAGCCGGTCACATCTTCACTCCCATTACGCAATCTATTCAGCCCCATTAACGCCCCCGTCGCACGGTGGAGTTTCCAGGGTAAGCTCCCCAAAATCACCATCTGTAGTTGTACTGTCAAAGCAGAGGAGAGTCAGTAGCGTTCTCACGTCATCTAAAGAGCCAGGCCACCAGAAGGGCAAAGAACGTAGTTCCATGTGGGAATGCAAAAGCAAGGGGGTCCTGATTTCCCCAGAAAAACCTCCATCCATTGACCTAACCCAGTCAAACCCCGACCATTTGAGTTTTAGATCTCAGAATTCTTCATCCAGCATGAAGAAAGAAGATGAAGTTATCCTTTTATTGGATTCAGATGAAGAGCTAGAGCTAGAACAAACCAAAATAAAATCAGTTTCTGATGATCCCCCAGAAGAAAGGAACGTTCTAGAAATTAGCCTCAAGTCCTCTGAGCTGTTTTCAGTCATTGACGTTGATGCAGATCAGGAATATTCCCAAAGCCCACTGACGAGAGAAGCCATGCCGCTGCGGGAGGAGGACGAGGGGCAGTTGGAGAGTCAGGGCTCTTTGGGCCGCAGAGGGGCCCCCTGGCTGCACTGTGACCATGACCACGACAGCGGCCCCAACGAGGACACCACAGACACCTCATGGCTGGTGCCTGCCACCCCGCTGGTCAGCAGAAGCCGTGACTGTTCATCACAGACCCAAATCACAAGCCTTAGTGCCAAGACTTCAGCAGATGAGACAACCCTACACATGCCCAGGGACCCCGTAGGAAACAGGCAAGTGAGCAAAGCTGCACAGAAGATCTCAGTGATCATGCCCCAGATGCCACCATCCTGCCATGACCCCATCACTCCAGAAGCTTCCGGCAGTGGATGGCAGGTCTACAGAAGCCCTTCCAGGCCCCACCCTGGGCGCCAGGAGCGCACTTCTCCACTGCCTCCCCGTCCCACCGCCGCGGCCCTTGCGGATCTCACTGGGCACTTCCAGAAATGCTCGCCGCCTGGGCTGAGCCCACCAAATCTGGCCACAGCGAGCGAAGTGGTAGAAGTTGAGGACAGTGAGGACGAGCAGGAGGTGGCCTCCCACCAGGCAAACAGCAGTCCCCGGCAGGACAGTGACTCTCCAATTCCAGTTGATGATTGCTGTTGGCAGGTGGAACCCCTCTCACCGATCCCAATAGACCACTTGAACCTGGAGCGCACTGGCCCCCTGAGCACCAGCAGTCCCACCAGCAGGGCGAGGGAGGCCCCAGACAGTGGGGACTGCCGCTCCCCAGGATTCCTGGGCACCACCCCCATCCGAGGAAACTGTGCCACCCGAAAAAAATCTCAGGAGAAATCCTCATGGGCCAGCTCCCCACGGAGCAGCAGGCTGAGCTTTTTGAACTCAGCTCTGTGGGACGACTGGAATGGAGAAGAGAAGTCTCCAGAGGCTCTTCATCTAGTCCAGACACCAAGTGCCAATGGAGCTCAGAAAACAGAAGGATTGGAGAAGCCAAGTGAGTAGCCAGAGGGCTGGGGCGGGGTGTTGTCCTGTGTACTGTTTTACACTATGGGAAGTGGAGCTCAGTAATGAAAGTCCAGGGCCAGGGACATGGAAGGGCCTGCTAACGTGCGGCAGACCCTTCTACTTCCTTCCAGATCCCTCTCTGCAGTGAGGGAGAATCTGCTGTCCATCAGACTCTGCTTGGGCAAATAAGTCAGTGTTTCCTAAACTTGCTAAGTCCTAAGGTTCACCTGGGCACTTGTCAAAAATTCATATATGTGGATTCCACTCCAGAACATGAACCAGCTCCTGCAAGAGGTCGTGACTCTGTTCAGCAATCTTAGGTGTGTTTTAAGATAGGGCAGTTCCTCAAATGTAGTTCCTCAAAAAGTTAAACAGAATGGCCATAGGACCCAGCAATCCCACTCTTACCTAGTCATCCAAAAAAATTTGAACACACGTACTCAGATACCTGCACGTGCATGTTCACAGCAGAAACAAATCTCCATCAACAGATGAAGGAATAAACAAGGCATGGTCCATCCATGCAATGCAATATTGTTCAGCCCTAAAAAGGAGTGAGGTACTGATACATGCCACAGCCTGGATGACCCTTGAAAACACACTGAGCAAAAGAGGCCAGTCACAAAAGGTCATTTATCATGTGATTTTGTTTATATGAAATGTCTAGAATAGGCAAATCCAGAGAGACAGAAAGCAGATCAGTGGTTGCCTGGGGCTGGGGGAGGGGAAGGAGGGGCGACTGCTTACTGGATACAGGGCTTCCTCCTGGAGTGATGAAGATGTTGTGGGACCAGAGAATGATGGTGGTGGCCCAACACCGTGAATGTGCTTAATGCCACTGAATTGTTCACTTTAAAAAATGTTTTATGTGAATTTCACCTCAATTAAAAAAATACAAAAACAAGCTGGCCGGTTGCTCAGTTGGTTAGAGTGTGGTGCTGATAACACCAAGGTCCAGGGTTCCATCCTTGTACCAGCCAGCCACCAAAAAAAACCCCTCAAAAACAGATGGGCAAGTGTGGGAGGCTATGAGCCCCCATCCTTCTTGCCCCCTCAAGTAGAGGGATGCCTCTTCCCAGCTCATTTCAGTCCCAGGGGAGAATCAGAGCCCTTCTCGCTGCTGCTCCCAGCCAAGCACCTTCAGGGAAAGCAGAGGGAGAGCTGGCTGCACCAGGCAGCGCCTGGGAGCCAGGATGTCTGGCTGGGGACAAACCTCTGCCTGCAACCTGGGGGCTCATTTCATCCTGAAGTCCCTGGTAATTAGGCCTCTGGTGGCACTCTTAGCCTTGAGTGGCTCCAGAATCATCTGCAGAGCTCCTTAAACACATGGGGCCTGCCCCTGCCCAGAGCTTCTGCTTCAGGAGGGCCCAGTGTAGCCAGAAATTTGCATTACTAACCAGTTCCCAGGCAGCACCGTGACAACAGCTGCCACAGGAAACTTGAGACCTGGGCACCTCATCCAGATCTGGGGTGGGCGTCCACATGAGCTCTGAAATGGGCAGAATTGTTTGCATTTTTCAGGAGCCGGAGTCTACTGTCTTCATCGTGGTCACTAAGTGTTCCATGATCATAAAAGGATAAGAACCAGGCTGTATGTTCCTAATTTGTCCCATTTGTCTTTCAGATACTAGTTTTTTTTTTAAGTAACAGTTTTATTCATTTTATTCCCATAAAATTCACTCTTTTAAATAAGTGGTTTTTAATATTCACAGTGTTGTGCAACATCACAACATTATCTAATTCCAGACGTTTTCATCACCTCAAATATAAACTCCACACCCATTAGTAGTCACTCCCATTTCCCCTCCCCAGCCCCTGGCGACCACTCGTCTGCTTCCTGTCTCTGGATTTGCCTGATCTGCACATTTCATATAAGTGGAATCATACAATATGTGTCTTTTGGTGTCTGGCTTCTCTCACTCAGGATAAGGTTTTCAAGGTTCATGCATGTTGTAGCATGTGTCAGTATTTCATTCCTTTTATGTCTTAATAATATCCTGTTGTATGGATAGACCATATTTTGTTTTTCCATTCATCCATTAGTGGACATTTGGATTGTTTCCACTTTTTGGTTATTATGAGTAATGCTTCTGATTAACATTGATATATAAGTTTTTTTTTTTTTTTTTTTGGTCTTTTGTCTTTTTCCGTGTCCGGCAACGGGATCGCAACCCTCGGTGTTGCTCCCGCGCCTCGCTCAGCCAGTGAGCGGGAACCGGTCTGTATGTGGGATCCGAACCCTCGGGCGGGAGCGCCGCCACGCCTCCCAAGTGGCGCACTATCCAGTGCACCACCGGGCCGGCCCGATGTATAAGTTTTTATGTGAACGTAAGTTTTTATTTTTCTTGGGTATATGCTTAGGAGTGGAATTGCTGGGTTGTATGGTAACTGTGTTTGGCATTTTGAGGAACCACCAGATTTCCACCAGTTTTTTAACGTGGCTGCACCATTTTAGGTCCCCATCAGCAGTGTGTGAGGGTTCCCATTTCTCCCCAATCTCATCAATACTTGCTATTCTGTGTTTTTTATTATAGCCACCTAAGTGGGTATGAAGTGGTATCTTGTTTTGATCTGAGATCTCAGTTGGCTAATGATGTTAAGCATCTTTTAATATGCTTATTGGCTATTCGTATATCTTTGGAAAAACGTCTGTTCAGATCCTTTTCCCATTTTTAAATTGGGTTCTTTTTATTGTTGAATTATTACAAAACATCGATGTCCAAGCTGCTTGAAGCCTATCGGTGTTGTCCATTGTCTCAAAGTGTCACTTTGTACCAAGTCATTTTTAAGTTTATTGACAGAAGATTGAGTCTTGTGCTGGGCTGTTGGGTTGAACAGCCCCAGAGCCCACTTCACTTGCTGTCAGCGTTGGACACGGCACATGCATACCGTGTCATGCCTTCCTGCCAGAAGACACCATTCCAAACAGTGAAGGGGCTGGTTACTCCTGCTTTCGTGGAACAAAATGGTGATTGAGTTGTCTCCATGTGCAGTATGTTATTAGTGACACTACCAGGACCAGAAGTGGTAAATCCACGTCCCTCACGCTGAAATGTGTGTGGCTTCTGTTTTACAGAAGGTGCTGATCAGAAGAACTTGCCCCCAAAAGTGCCCATAACTCCAATGCCAAGATATTCCATTATGGAGACCCCGGTGCTGAAGAAGGAGCTGGACAGGTGGGTGCTGCCCTTCAAAGCTTGCTTAGAAGTGGTCTTTTTCCTTCTGTGCATGACAGGGCTTAGCAAGTCTGGAAGGGAAGGATCCACCATGTGGTCCCTTCAGGCCTGGTGGACGCAGCTGGCCTGGGCTTGGGAGGAAGGTTCTATGGGGAGCATATGTGGCTGCCAGGGGATGGGGCGAGCTGCTGGGCTTCTCCCCCGAGAAGCTAACTAGGGGGACTCCTTCAGGTGACCCATTGGGCGACAAAATCTCTATGTTCCATGTTGATGGGAATGGAACCCTAGCCATAACCGGAGACCTGATTTTTTAAGAGAACATCAAAACTATCACCTCCAAATGAATGCTGCTCTTCAACGTGGGCACCTGGGAAGTTATTGCTACCACCATCACTCAGAATGCTGCATGAGCGTCTCTTTTGGGATATTCTTTAGAGTAAGCTTTGTTCACACAGAGGACAGAACTAACCTCTGAATGCTCATAAAAGTCAGGCATCTAAACTTTCAGTCACACAAAGCCATTCATTAAATTTGTTGGTAATTGCTTGCTCTTTGCTAAAAAGTGGAAATAGCATAGACTGTGTAGACAAGCTATGTGGTTCAGCCCTGAATTTCACCTGTTTTTCTTTCAGGTTTGGAGTCCGTCCTCTGCCTAAACGCCAGATGGTTCTGAAACTGAAGGAGATATTCCAGTATACTCACCAGACCCTGGAGTCAGGCTCCGAGGACGAGATCCCGGCCTCACAGGCGCCCCTGGAGGCACCCTGCAGCTGGACGCACACCACCAAGACCTACAAGCCTCCCAGGGCAAGAGGCCGCACCCAGCGGGAGGCCCCCAGGGGTCCTGTGCCCCAAAAGTCCAAGGGACCTACTAAGACCAGGGGCCCCCGACCTCGAAGGAAGCAGCCCAGTGAGAGCATCCCACCCCCGAGCCAGTCACCAGCTGAAGAGGCTGCTCCAAGCCCAGAGGGTGACACCCAGCTCCCTGCTTCCCAGGAGTCCATGGCCACCTCTGTGGAAGGCAGTGACAGCTCTTTCAGCTCACAGAGGTAACTGGACAGAAGTGACAGGCTCAGCAGCATCATGTATCCTCTGACCAGTGGGTCTGAGAGCTGGCATAGGCGGGGCCTGATGGCCAATGTTCAGAAACAAAACCCTGCCTTCTGGGTTTGCACCATAGGAAGCACAGGCGGCCTTAAAGGGCCGTTCCCTCCGAGCCCCCAGCAGTCTTTTAGAACTCTTGGTTTCTGGCCCCGCAGGCTGGGACTCTCCGGCTGAGAGCGGGGAGCCTGATCAGGGCAGCCCAGCAGGGGTGCTTGGGAACACAGTGGCCTGTGGGGTGCTGTCGGGTGTCCTACCGCCCCGGAGTCGTCCAAGCCGCACTCCAGGCTCCCAGGGACCATAGAAACCCACTCCTTGCTGGGAGGTTCCTGGTCTCAGGGGACTGAAGAGAAAGGGTGTCACGAGACGTCATTGTCTGGTTCTTTCCAGTTCTTCCTCTTGTGAGTTTGGCACGGCCTTTGAGTCTGCGGGGGAGGCCGAGGAGGCCGAGGCGGGGGTCAGCGCGTTGCAGATGGCTGTGCAGGCCACGGACACGGAGGAGGTACTGAGGCGCTACATCCGCTCCCAGCCCGCCCTCTACCGCAAGGTGCTGCTGTACCAGCCTTTTGAGCTGGCTGAGCTGCAGGCCCAGCTGAAACAGAATGGCATCCGTGTGGCCACGGGCAAGCTGCTGGACTTCCTGGACGCGCACTGCATCACCTTCACCACCGCCGCAGCCCGCAAGGACAACCTCAAGGGCAAGAGGCTGCGGCCCATGGGCAAGAAGAAAGGGGAGCGGAAATGACAGGGCCACGCCTGTCCCCACCCCGCAACAGCTGCCCAGGGGTCTGTGTCCAGCATCAGCAGCCCCTGCCGGCCGTCTGCGGGAAGCACCTGAGACTCCCAGTATGGATCCGGCCTCCACCAGCACCTCAGGGCCTCAGGGCCACATCCACTCTGCACCTGTGAAACGACAACAGCACTGACCCAGATCTTTCTCCACTGGACCCCACTTCCTGGGTGGCATTTGGAGCATGTTGCCCACTGGATTTAGGACCCTGGCCCCTCCCTCTTTCGGGGCCCACAGTGTTTCCCTTAACCCAGCAGGGCCTCATGTGTTCCAGAGGAACAGTGGGCCACCACCAGCTGGCAGGGACAAGGCCTGGTTCTTTCACATCCGCCACTCTCTGTGTCCCCTAGCCTCAGGCATGACTGCCTGTGAGTCTGTCCTGAGCTGGACATCAGGTTTAGCCTGCCCTGGCTGGCCTGGGCCTGTTTCCTTCTCAGCACTCAGACCAATCCCCAGTAGACCAGGTGTCCCCATGCTCCCTCACTGCATGCCCTTGGGGCAGCCCTCCTGGCCCAGCCATCCTGCCGAGACACTTGTCACCATCACCAGCAGTCTCCAAACTGGACAGCACACAAGGGCCCAACACAACTGCAGCCCCCAAAACAAACATGGTCTTTGTTAGTGGAGCACAGGTGAGGGCCAGAAAAGAAGAAAAGTTGGGGTCTCCCCATCCTTGTGAATGTCCTTGTGTGTTTTAAATATGGTGCAGTCTGTTTTTTATGATGTGCAATAAAAACAAAAAGCCTTTATAAAAACCTTCTTGATGCTACACTCCAGAAAAGTCACAAGGGAAGCCACTGTGAGCTGCCACCCCACTTCCCCACCCGATGTCTGCAGGGTCCTGCTTTGTGCCTGCTCTGTTTCAGGGGGGTGACAGGCTGCTGTCTCCTCATTGCCTTCTGGTTTGTAGGATACAGTTCATTCATTCATGCATTCGCTCATCCACACGTCTGTCCGTGCACCCCCATTTCATAGAGCCCTTACTGCATGCTGAGCTCCTGCCTGCACCGCTCAGTGAGGCCTGAGGACCAGCAGCATCGGCCTAACCTCAAACAAGCTGTCCTTGACGTGTCCTGTCTGTGGGTCTGTGGAGGAGACAGATGCTGGCCTGTCCCATGCCCGGCGTGGGGGGTCAGGGCTCAAGTGGCCTGAAGGGTCATATCAGGGACAGCTTCCTGGAAGAGGGGGTTTGTGAACTGGGTGTTAGGGGTGAGCAGCATTTAGGGAGGTGACTATGGGGTTTCTTGCACACACACTGTGTGTCCTGGCACATGACCAGGCAGGCAGGCCCAGTTCTCCCACTCACGTTGCCCAGGGCAGATGAGCAGAGGGAAGCCAAGGGCCCGAGATCAGCTTGGATCCAACCGAAGATGGATTTGGAGCTGGTTTAGAAGAAGGTATCACGGGTTCTGTGAAGGGCTTGATCACCTTCCTAGTGTGAACTGTTTTAGGGGAGCGAGATGGAGTCAGGAAGGCAGGAGGAGCCTCGGGGCCCTTGTCCAGCTTCACAGGGTTTGTGGTTCCGACTCTGCTGTGTGTGCCCTTCCATGGAGAGGGGCTGGGGGTCCTGGCCAACCTCAGAATGTGTCCATGACGTGAAAGAAGTTAACACCCTCCGGGTTAATAAAGACGTGTTAGGGGAGGGGTTGAAATAGTTTTAAACCCAGTTTAGGAGCCTTCGAGTGCAGTGTGGAGTCAAAGGCAGGGAAGATGAGGCCTGACCTTGGCCGGGTGGCTGGAGCCAGCAGGGGCTGGCGGTGGGCAGAGCCTTGGCATGTGCACTGCCCTGGCCAGGGGACAGAGCCCTAGACTCTGAACCTGTGTGTGAAGCAGCATTTCCTTGTCCTGAAACAACTGGTAAAGCAGTGGATGCTTCCCGAGAAGAGATGTTAAAATGCAGTGAAGGCATCACCACAATCAGATGTCGTGGTATCTGGGCAAAGAACATTGACCCTTCCACAGATATTAGACATGACTTGGGCACTACAGAGTGAGGTCCAGCTAACTGGCTGAAAAGGAAAGTGATGGGGCATAGCTGCCTTCTCAAGGCAGGAGGGAGACCCTTCCAGAAGCTCTGTCCTGCCTCACACTGGGGAGTTAGCACAGAAGAAAACAGACCAGCGGCAGCAGAATGTTCGTTGGTTACAGCCAGATAAGAAAACGTGGGACATGCATGCTTCGCTGTCATGTGACCAGACCTCCAGGCCTGCCCCACATCCGTGCCCTTAGCTCTGGACGTGGCTTGGGCTCAGCTGCCTGCAATCAGAGAACCACAGCCCAGCTGGGGCCCAGGCGAGGGCCTCAGAGACAGGCCCCGCCCCTGCAGTGCTGGCACTGTTAGGAGGGCTGAGGCCACGGCCTGTCCAGCTGACCCCAGCTCTGTGTGGATGGAAGGCCACGCCCATTACCCAGGAGCTGTGGGGACGGCCCACCCGTTTCTCACGGACCAGCCCGTGTGGGCTGATGGACATTCCTGCGAGGTGGGGAGGAGGGGCTGGCTCTGGGATGCTCCCCGAGATCCTGTGGAGGAAGGAAGCTGTTTGCTCTCATGCTCAGCATCCATCCAGCGTGAATGGTGGAGGGAGGCGCAGAGCCGGCCCCCTTGGCCTCCTCCATGTCACAGACACACCAGGCCTCTGTGGTTTCCAGCATCTGTGGGCGGCTTGGTTTCAGCCGCCTCCGTGGAACCCATGGCTGAGGCTGCAGCCGGCGGTTCTATGCTCCACCTGCCTGCAGCCATCGAGTCCTCCCAGCTCCTGCCACCACCCTGGCTGCTCAGAAAGCACTGTCAGAAGGGAGGGAGGAGACATGGAGGTCACCATGAAATGGAGCACTTCTCTCTGCCGCCTCAGTCGCCTCCCTCCTGCAACCCCACGAGCTGATGACAACCACACGTGGCCTCCCACTTCCCCTGGCGTGCAGGCTGCTGTATGCATTTGAACCCACTACTCTCCTGTTCTACAACCATCGCTGCCTCCCCCTTGCTTGCTAAAAAAAAATTCAGAACCAAGGACCCCAGCACTTGGCTCCCATCCTGTCATGTACTTCACCCAGTGGCCCCACATTAAGTGGCTTGCTCCCTGTCACCGGAAGATGCCCTGTACTTTTCCTTTATGGTGACTTTTCGCATATTGTTCACTCTGGGCCGCGTCTTTCCCCCTCACATCCTTCCCTGTCAGTGCGGTCCCTGCCGAGGTCACCTCCAGGGTCCAGAGTGTGATCTCCCGCTGTAAACAGCTGCATTCTCATGTTTCCTCTCGGGGTGCAGTGTTCAGCCTTCAGGGGCCCTTGGCTCACAGGAAGACATTGTGGTACAGCTGGGTCAGAGGTCCCTGCTCGGTAACAGAGAGCAGGAAAGCAAGAGAGGTCAGAAAAGGGAGGGGAGGGCCACAGGGTATCAGCCTGGAAGTGAGAGGGCACAGTCTAGCCCAGGCAAGGTGGCCTTCCAGTTGCGTGACCTGGGGCCAGTCTCTGAGCTTCCCCACTGCTCGCTTGGTTTCCCAACCCCAACTAAGAGCACACTTCTGTTGGTGGTGGCCTGTTTTCCCTTTTGGCGGGTGGAGGGTGATGTGTCAACTGCTTTGGTGTTGTACCACCTCTCCTGAGCATTGGGTCTGCAGGGATGCTCCGTCCCAGAATCAAGACCCCAGCGTCACTCCCCTCTTTGACTCTGGGGGGCGGTGACAAAGCTGGGCCTGAGGCTCCCTGGCTCATTGATTTGTCTGCAAGGCTGTTGGTTTTTGAAATGAGACAGGAAGGAGGGTTGAGGTGGAGCCAGGCACAGGAAGACGTGAAGCACCAGAGCTGCAGTGACAGCGGTGGGCTTGGTGGGGACTGCAGGAGGCTGCTGCATGGTCAGTGTGGTCAGTGAGCACCCCCGATCCCTTTGGACCAGGCATCACTCAGTCCTGGACAGGTCCCAAGCACTCGGGGGCCCAGCTTCCTCCTGTCCAGAAGTGTGGAGATGGAGCCCCCCCAGATCCCCAGCCTTAGCACTGCTGGAGCAGCAATGAGGCCCAGGAGGTAAGTCAAGGCCAAGCTGCCTCAGTGCAGGGCGGGGGAGGGAGAGGAGACAGCTGGCAGGAAGTGTGGTAACTTTTAAGGTCTAAGCTGCTCTGGGAGGGGGCTGTGGGAGACTCCAGGAAGGCGTCCCCCGGGTGCTGGGAGCTGCAGGGGCAGGACTGGTTCACACGTGGAATAAATAAACATGTGCCCAAGGACAGCCAAGGACAGGCCCCAGGGACACAGCCCAGCTCCCTGGGTACTAGTGATGGGACAGGAAGCAGCCAGAAGGTTCTGCAGGCAGAAGTGATGCTGAGCCGGGCAGCGGTGGGATCAGCAGACCTAAGCCCCAGCCTGGCCCCATGCCTGGCTGTGGGACCCCTGCTTCTGTGTGCTTCAGCACCAGAACCCCCCAAAGACCACGAGGGTCAAGGGAGGTGGTATAGGGCGGCTCCAGGTCCAGCTCACGGTGCCCTCACATAGGCGGCAGCCCAGGGCCTCTCCCAGCTGCACCCTTGGGGGAGAGGAGGCTGTCATTCTACGAGAGATGGTGACCACGGGGGCCTTCTCACAGCAAGCCTGCTGAGCTGGGCTGGCAGGTGTTGGCCATGGCGTTCCCCCCTAAGCCAGGTCCAGGCACCCCGAGTTCCCCCTGTCTCCTCCAGGAGATGCATGCTTCCTTGATCCTGGGGCTCTCTTGGCTGTCACAGACTGCAGGCCGGGCTCCCCTGCTTTTGTCCCAGGGGTGCTGGGCTCCCCAGGGTGGGGCCTGTGCTCCCACCTGGACTCCGGGCATCAGTGCCGTACAAGGGTGGGCCCTTGAGGTGCTGGTGCTGCTTCCTTTGAGAAGGCTCCTGGATCTCAAGCGCTTGCTGGCCATGGTGCTGGGGGTGAGGCAGGAAGTCGGGAGAGAGGGGTGTCCCGGGAGCCAAGGCCAGAGACACAGGCAGCCCAGGCTATGGCCAGTGCTGGGAGGCCCCTGGGAGGGCAGTATAGGACAAGATGGGACCCACTGGCAGTCAGGACCTAGGGCTTTCCAGGCATGAAGCAGAGACGCCCAGTGGTTGAGCCTGAAGGACCAATACCAGGGAGGTCCTAAAATCCACACTCCCCCACAGACAAAGCTCCAGGGATGGGCCCTGGCGACACCTGCCAGGTTCCCAGGGATGCCCAGTCATCCCTCTGGTCTTGCCCTGCCCACTATAGCTCAGACCCTCTGTGGACTGACCTCTGGCCTTCCAATCCTCCAAGGCGACCTGAGGCCCACCTGTCTGTAGTCTTCCCCTCTTTAAGCTGGGCTCTCAGGGGTACCTGCCACTCTCCTGGGGACCATTTGTACTGGGCAGGGTCTGCATGACCATCCCTGGGGACATCTGTGGCTTCCTCACCTCCCCCGCCTCAGAGGCCTGTGGTCGGTTGCAGTCCGCAGGAGAGGTGGTTGGGGCTGGCCCTGGGAGCTGGTGGCAGTTGGGGGTTCCTGACTCACCTGCAACCTGCTACTTGCTGGAGGTGTCCAAAGCCAGGTTGGGGAGGGAGGAGGTCTCATCTGAGATGGGCCTGAGCAGGGGTGCCAGATAAAACACAGGACACCCCGTTAAATTTGAATTTCAAATAAACAATATTTTTTTTAGTGTAAGTGTGTCTCAAGTATTACATGGGACATACTTATACTAAAATAAAAATATTACTTGTTGTTTATCTGAAATTCAAGTTTCACTGGGTGCCCTGTGTTTTAGTTTGCTAAATCTGACAA